AATCATTTTATAAAAATAGGAATACATTTGTTTTTATTGCCATAATGCTACCCTAAATTATGCATAAGCTTCCTTTTGGATCTAAATTAGTGCAGAATACTTTGAGCTAATATCCCTCTGAATTTTGAGAAATTTAGAGCTTACTGTCTCAATAAAAAACTTTCATGTCAGATGCTGAGATAACTCACGTCTGAAGCACACTGCTCAGGAGCAAAAGTTCTGAAGGACAAATAGTTGGTCATACCAAAATTGCTTTCAGTGTACAGAAGCAAAAGGAATACAATCACACAAAGCACTAAATGAAATACTTCTTGATAAGAGATCAAGCTTGGATAGCATGAGGGAACAATTGAGCCAGCCTAAGAAGGAACACATAAGGACTGTAATCGTGAATTTTTAAATGGTGGTAAGAGCTTGAATGCAGTAACCATTTTGTTACAGCTCTTTGTTTGTTTGTTTCCAGATCAGGCCGTATTTTTTCTTAAGACTATTTTGGCAGTTTTGGATATAATTTCCAGTTTCTAAAGTGCTAAATACACAAATCCAAGAGTAGACTAGAATTAACTGACTGTCCTTACCTCCACACCACATTTCCAGTGCACTCCTTTTGTCATTTGCTCTATGGTACAGGCAGCAGTTGCAATCTAAAGCAGCTATTTTCTATTTTCAAGAACTAAACGCTCGTAAATGAGCAGGAGCCACTTAACATCAGTCCAACTAACACAAAAATAAACCTTAAAAGAACCAACAACACATTTCTGAGGACCATACCCATATATGTATAAAGTAGCAAGAAAAACACCGCATTAATATAGTACAATCAATATTTTCTTTTCACTTTAAGTAACGTGACGGAGGAACTAAACAGCAAGGAAAAGCTCAATTTTTATTTTAGCTGTATCAACACCACTTATACCAAAGGCAACAATATATTGCTCTTAAAAAAAAATAAAATTGTTACAGTCCAGACCCGTGCTTATTTGTTCACAATACCATTCACAGAGTTCCTCAACTCCTGGAGTAATAATCTCCTAGAATAATCAGAAAAATACTGAAACATGCATTCGAAACAAAAAACATGGAAGAAAAAAAACTCATAAAATAATCAAGCTGCCAAACCCCAAAATAACGCAGGAAAAAAAACCAACAACCCTACTAAATCCATTAAATCTACTAAAATCTACTTTTCAATACATTCAGTAAGAAATATACTGGGCACAGAATAATGTCTTCATTCTCCCTCAGCACTAACTCTACTGGCAGTAATTTCACCTACTTGGATATATCCATATCCAGGCTGGACAGGCTCTGAGCAACCTGACCTAGCTGTGGCTGTCCCTGTTCTCTGCAGGGGAGCTGGACTGCATGGCCTTTCAAGGTCCACTCCAATTCCAAGGATTCTATGATATCCACCACTACAAAACTTTGCCAGGTTTGTCCAGTAATACATCTTATATTAAAAAACTTAGATTAAAAACAATGACTGAAAAAGATCAACACAAGCTATATGAAAGAACCATCCAAACAAACAAACAAAAAAAGCTTTTTGAGAAAATGACTGGAATAGTTGTGAGTTATTTACACAAGTAAGGCTGTGCACAATCAGGCCCATACTAATTGAGCACCACGTACATATTATCATTCATTAAAGATATATATCTGCCTGAATTTATCTTCACTTTCTCTTCATTTCAATTTGAATTACTCAAGCACTTTCCATCACACAGAAAAGGAAGTATTATATTACAAAGACAGCTATAATTAAGACACTCCTGCATCTCATTTCCCATATATGACTGAATGAGAATGGCTGGGGAAAATAGGAACAGTGGTAATAGCAGTATGTTGAGTACATTCAGTGAGACTTATACTGGGCACAGAGAATAATGTCTTCATTCTTCCTTGGCAAAAAATGTTGTGTTTACTGCAAGGTCAGTTAAGTTACTATAAGAGATTTTTAATGAAAACAATTATAAATTTAAAATAACTGTGTTTAAAGCATTTAATAGTCACTGAGGTCAAGTGATTACAGCAGTTACAAGACCCGAGGGACGTGTTCACACCAAAACAAAGTGAATAAATTAACTCAGCCATTGTATGCAATCACTAAGTGACCACAGAGGTTATTCAGCATATGAGCCTAGATGACTTTCATGGAAAACCAACAATGAAAATTTATCAGCCGAAGGGGAAAAAACCTAAGAATCTGTAGAAGTTGCATGATGGGTTGAGAGCTAGAAAGATTAGAAAATAAGATGTAGAAAGCACGCTCTGTGATCCAAATGCAGAGACAAGGAATAAAAGCATCCACCCATTTCAGTAACACTCAAGGTTCTGAACATCTTGTTTAGGTGATATCCTTGAAGACTTGCAAAGGTGTGTGGGACCAACAAACTGTAAAGTCACAAGGAATTGCCCTCAGTCCTGTGCAACTCTGACACATGTAACACACAGGGAAGAAAAAGTGATACAGGAATTCATTATAATCATCTTCTAATTTTCCCTTGGCTTATCAACTCAGAAAATTACGTGACTGGCATTGCATCTTAGAGTTATTCCATTACATAACCCTAGCAGAGATGAGTGTTGTTTTACCACAAAGTAAGCTGACTAAGCTGTAGAAGGAAGTCAAGCTCTTGTTTTATTCCCTTAACGTAGAAGAGATACAGATGCCTTGACTCCATCACTGCTTTTCAACAGGATTGCCAGTGAAGACACCATGCACAGGGCAAAAACACATCCATGAATTCATTCTGTTTTGATTCCAAATGAGGAGAGGGTAGCACTGGAGCCAATATTCACCACTGTGTTGTGATTCCATGGAGGAATCAATTTGCAGCTTCACTTCATGCTAGAAACCTAATAACCAGTATTGTTGTATATATGGAGGTGTAGGTAGACTCAGCATTTGTTAAAAAAACTAAACACCAAAAGAGGTTTTCTCTGTACCTGAAACATAAAAGGCTGAGGACAAAGCCAGCAGGTCCTCTCGCAGCCATAGCTTCCAGCCAGCTTCAGTGACACCAAGTGCCAAAGAATGTAAGAACTGCTTTCTCAGATAAATACCATGCTGACATCTACAAGAACTATATATGTTAAGAAAGCCCCATGATATATTATTGAGGCTGGAACAAAATCTATTCAAAGAGTTAAGATTTGTCTGTTGCAAATGTTAAACAAAGGATGTATGTGATAAAATAATGTCATTGTGAAATGCCTGTTGTACACAAGGGAAATGCCAAGTGGTTGCTTATGCTGTAAGAGTCCCTGCAGAAATCTAGGAACACAATATCAACTTACTTGCTTTGGCTTTCAGCAGTAAGTATTGAGTCAGAATTTTCCAACAAGAAAACATTGGACATAGGCTCTGGTTGTAACAAAATAATACTTGTGTAACGAGCTGATAGCCAAAGAACTTTGACAGGGATAGACTTCAGAGATCAATGCACTCCAGAAAGCAATTCCTTTCCTGGAGCTGCCTGATACAAAAGGCATTTGTGACAACTGAACCTCACTGAAGAGCAGTGCTGCCTATCTTTTCCACAAGGACTGGAACTGAGTGGGTCCACACCTCCTGACCTCAGGGGAGCCCTGCAGCCCACCCCAGCCCTTACACTGCTTTCTCATCCCACTCCTTCTTCGCAATACTTGAACATTTACAGGTCATCACAAACCTGTACATAAGTATATAAGCAACAAAGCATATAAATTGAGGAGGATGATTCCTATTATGTGTTTTCCCTCAACTTATGTACATATACAACTACTTCTCATACCACCTCTGAATTCCTAGCCTAGTGAGTACATTCCTAGGAAAAAAACCCACAGTTTTTGAGGCCATTAAATCTAGAGCTGTTTTCCAGAAATATGAACAATAAAACCAAATTTCAATAATACAGCAGTACCCAAAAGCCCCAATCCTGCATGCACAACCACATAAAAGGTAGAAAAGCATTCTTTACAATTGTGCCAGAGAAACCTAAGATCAGAGGGAAGATGGTTTGAAAGAACAGTATGGACAAAGTGCAAAGGAAGGTGAAAAAACTGAGACTGTGAAAGCTCTTTTATTTAAAAAATTACTTTTGTAAATCTTAATATTCTTTACTTATCCCTTGAATGGTCAGCCAGTGCTCTCCAATGGAATAAAATGATGCTATTAAAAATGTGTAGAGATGAGTTAAAGCATGGTGATGAAGCCATGCTTTCAAAGGTTTTTATGCACTGCTCTAAATTTGTCTAACATTTCTGGAATATCAGCTGGCTTGAGTCACTTTCCCCTCTGAGTATTTCTAGTGTAACTGGTAACACAGCAGTGCCCAGCAAGCCTATCAGCTGCATTTGCAATAGGAGCACCATGGACAAGTTCTCCTTCTACCTTTCGGACTTCTGCTGTTGCAATCTAATTGACTTCATCTGTAGCTACATGATAGCAAGACACTGTCAGAATACAGCAGAATACAAAACACCTTCTGCTTAGGAGGCATTGAGCATCTGTGTTCAAAGCAGTACTCTAGCTCAAAGGACTAATCATGTTACTACCCCAATAAAATTTTCCTCCTTCAAATTTTGACATCCCGTATCATCAGAAAAAGGACTTTCACTATTTCTGTTTGTGTTGTAGCTTTTAAGTCCTGTTTGAAATTATCAGCCAGAAAGTCAGAGCAAGCAATAGTTTTGGATGTGGACATAAAAGCCCATAGTGGACGCTGAATGCACTCAGATTAGGTGCCACCACTCCCTCAGGGCACACAGAATGTTACACAGTCCTTGCTTGGGAGTGACAGAATCTTTCCCCCAAGATAACACAGAAATGAAGTGAAGTCCTTATATTTGTCTTAATTAACAGAATCATACTGAGGCTAGAAACAGCACATCACATGAGGACGAGTGAAGCAAAGGTGGGGGGGGATTTTCATGTGCTCTAATTCAATTAGGAAGCAGTGACTGACACTTGGACAGGAGAGGTTAATTGGGGTCACCAAAACGCAGTAATTCCTTACCTAACCAGTCATTAAACTTCTTAACCTCTGAGGGCAGTCCCAGCTCGGTGAAATCGCCCGTGTGGAGAAGGATGTCCCCATAAGGCATCTGGATGCCATCTGTTCTGGAGTGTGTGTCTGAGATGCAGACAAATCGCGTGTGGCCCGCTGGTTTTGGAGTATCATATGGGATAGGGTCGACCCTAAAGCAGACACAAAGATCTCGTAACAGTTACAAGGTTAAAAGCCTCACATCCATAATATCAAATATCAACACAAATCCAAGTACACATCAGTATGCATGCACACCCATTTACACACAGCACGCTGAAAGAAATGACTGGAAAAAATCAAAATGCCAAAACTCAAGGAGGGACCACGTTCTCAAATACTTACCTGGTAAGGAAGGAAAATTAAAAAATATGAAGAATATGACTAGTTTCTGCTCCTGATACCAAAATTAAACAGTGGGGGGGGAAAAAAAGGTTTGGAGGACTTAGAATTTATATTGATTTTTTTTTCAAAATCTGCTTTATAAATAAACAGGTGCACAGGTTTTAAATAAAAAGTCCTGCAGGTGGGCCAGCAAAAGGCTCTCACTTGACCTGAGCTTAGTATATGATTTTGTTCAAGGGCACAGGCACTCCTACCATTTCCAGCAAGGGTATTTGTTCACACACTAGGCTACAATGCTTTGATGAGGCCTGGAAATTGCAGAATTGAGCCTAATGTCAACTCCTTGCTCTCAAAAATCCTGAGCTCATCTGTCACTATAATTCAACACTGGAATAGCACAGAACCTGGCCTAACATTGAATCAAACCCCACTGCAGCTATACAGAATTTCAGTCCATTCCTTTGATGTGCTACTTTGATCACAGACAGAGATCAGCTTAATTCTAAGATCTGCAGGAATTATTATGGTCCACTAACATCCCTAACCATCGCAGCACTGCAAACAAACCAAGTATTTTAAAGCACTTAAAATGATTTTATTCATATACCTATTGGAACAAACTGGCACAAGAATGTGCATTCAAAAATTGAAGCCTAAAAGTAAAAAAGAATATGTCAGAATTTTGCTCTCCATACTGCATGAAAAACAAGGAAATACAAACTTCCTAAGTTTTTCTTTACCTTATGAATGTTGGTACACTGAATTACTGTTTACTACACACTGAAGTGTGTGCTGATGTGCTCAACTCCAGCTCCCTAGGTAGGTGAGAAAGCTCCCTACTTTGAGGGGCTTACAGTAGCTCAAGAGATGTCTAAGCAGACACGCACTTGTTGGTCTTCAATGAAAAAATGGCCATGTGAATGCACTTCCTAACAAGGTCTTACTGGATCTATTTTAGATTTGGGAGAATGCTTACACACAGCTAAAATTCAAGCATATGAGAAAACTGTGTGTGCAGGGAGAGGTGCTGGTTGGACTGCATTTTCCTAGGTACCATGAATAAGTAGTTCCATTCAAACTGTATTTCCCATGCATGCCTCACATTTGGTTGCCATGATTGCTGAACTTTTTTGTAGAATTCAGGCTCGATAAGACTGTGCTTACTTTTATATGGTCTTTATTTAAAAAACAAAAGTACTGTGGGCTGGGCGGTATGGGAAGGGGCAGTTCAGCAGATAACTCTTTGCCTTTTTGGTACTGCACCTCCTTTTCCTCCCAGAGCACCACACATGATTAGTTGAGCCATATAACCAGTCATCACTACTGAAACACCTCACTGAAAAATCTGAACTAAAGCAATCGATGGATTCGTCTTTCCTACAAGAGTTAGAAAATAATAAAATCATTATTACAGAGGAAAACTCATTTATACATTGAAATTACACTACTAAGCTGGGCAGAAATAACTACAGGCCACAGCGCTTTGGTATCTGCTTTGCTATTCTCTGCAGTTTATTCCCAAACAAACCCCCCCTTGCTCTAGGTCAATTTGAAGCATTTTAGAAATACATCACACGTTAAACACGAGGGTCCCCAAATCAACATTTCCACTCTTCCAAGCATGTTTTCTTCAGATCACACACAGTACAAACACCAGGTTTCATCACTGCCACATACCCTGCTCAGGCTGTCTCTGCATGAGTGCCTCTGGGGAGCCCAGTTTGCTCATACACAGCAGCTCTGCTTTGCCATTCTCTGCACTTTATTTCTAAACAAACTCCCTTTTGCTCTAGGCAATGCCTACCAGACTAGAGCACCCAAATCTGGTTTAGAATTTTTCTACCCATGCAACGACTTACTAACACAAGATTCTATAATTGAAATTCATTAAGTTCCTGACCCTACTTTCATTTCTTTGCATACACGAGGATGTTGCCAAGTTACCTTTTTTTTTTTTTAATATATCTTAGCTTAATTTCTTCTCTTATTCAGTAGTGCTTGCCCACTAAGAATTGGAAAGTGAGATACTGAAGGTTATTGTGTTCAGCCCATCAATTTATTTTACTAAAAACAGTCCTTCAAAAGAAACTTAATAAAAGCAGTGTTATTGCCAGTCCTAAAGGCTCAAGTTTGCTTTCCATCTGCAGGTACAGTATAGGAAACACTAACGGAAGATTTGTCTATCACTGCATCTTGAGAAGACTGGCCTCTGACTTTGTGAGATCACTTACCACAGTATGCACAGCACTGTGCTCTCGCTGCTTTTGGCAGCACACGGCTCACCTGGCTGTGAGCATCATCATCTCTTCCTGTGGGGTCTGCTCACCTCAGGTCCCAGCCACAGGGATTACAGCCTGGCATCTCTAAAAGCTCTGTAACTGTTACGTGCCCAACCCTCCCTGCTATCCAACAGGAAACAAAATAATCATTTCACCTCTGCCCACAACCAGTCTCTACAGAATCAGCACACACATGCATACATACACACACACACACTACCATTTTCTCCCAACAATGTGTGTACAAGCAGCTTTGACAAAATTCCATCACCAACAACACTAATTCTTCAGATTTATCAAGCTGCCTGACAGCAACGCTTTATAGATTCTCACTGCATTTGAAAAAGAATACAGTTATACTCTGTAAATTTAAAGGATTTAAATACTCTAGCAATTTAAATGATTAAAACAACGGCCAGGAAATGAAAAGCAACCTAATAAAATATTGATTAGTATCAAAATGAATGAGGAGTGCAAGAGCCCCGTGGTGCCCTGCATCCCACCAACTCCGTGCCAGCAGCCTGCAACCAGTGCTGCCCAGGCTGCTGCCGGTACCACGAACACATGGAGGTTTGCACTGCTCTCCTCCAGCATATGGTAACTTTTACCACTGTTTCACATTCTAAAAGCAGGTAATGACAGGAAGTTAAATAATTGAGCAACAACCCTCAACACTGAAGTTATGGAGGAGACTGCAATGGCAAGACAGAAGGGCTGAATTCCACAACTCACAGAGAAGGAAAACACCGGGTCTTTCACATGCATGAAGGGAAAGGTCATGATTTAGGACATCAAGCTACAGAACAAATGCATTAGCTGTGTATTTCGGCTCAGCCTTACACTAGCTACTTAAAACGACATCTTATAAATCAGAAGCATGAGCAAGTACCTCAGGGACAGCCAGGGCAGTACAGCCCTCCAGGAGACATCGCTGCAGGGAGAACTACGCTGGAACCTGTTTTCAAAGAAAACTCAGCGAAGACACTAGCACCATTTCTCTGAGAGAGAGACAAGTTTTGATTCCAAAGCATAATTCTGCATGGATGACTTCAAAAGCCAACACCACCAGGCCCTGGTTTGGCTCTCCGGTCCCCTGGAAGGCCTGTGCCTCAGAGCTGAACCCGGGGCCTCTTTGCTTTCCCACTCTCTTGGGGTCTGAGGTATGCAGGCCCCAAATCCCTCCTACAGAACAATTCCCAAGAATCTAATTCATCCACGAAGATGAAATAAAAGCCTTAAACATTAAGCCAGGAAGAATTTCTAGTTCCTAAATCACAATAAATCACTCAGATGAATGCAGCACCTATACTGGATAAAGCTCTCACAGATGCACAGATATTCCTCTCCTCAGAGCCTTACAGCTCAGCCCAGCAGTGTTATTGCTTACAGTCCACTATGAGCTGACTGGGTGCCACTGGCTCTGCTACAGGTGAACAAATCAGAGGACCATGCGATTCCACACTTTCCCAGACATACCAGACAGATGAATAAATAGTGATGTGTGTGCCCACGTCCTTCCCAGATTTTGTCACATCTGCTTTGTATGCAGAACAGGCTTCAGACAAATATTCTCAAGTTGTAGTAACTATTTTCTAACATGGTTTGGGGAATGAGTAAATTCCTCAATATTTCAAAGCGATCTTCTGATTTTGAAAGGGGAAGGATGGAAATTTTGATGAAGGGAAAGGTGGATTTCCTGACTGTATCCTCCAATGCAAGCTCCAATGCAAGGAAAGGTGACAACTTCTTACAGAAGTTCAGTGCATCATATGCACATCCTCACATCTCCAGCCAGAAACATATGCATAGACAGAGCTGACTTTGTGATACAACACATGCTGAATGAAACAAAGCTAAATACTCATTTCCTCTCAATAAACACAATGAATGTCAAAATACAGTATTATGTACTTGGCCACTGTCAGTCACTGATTGTTTAAATTATACGTATGAGTGCATTTGTTAGCTTGACTCCATCTTCCAGCATGGTCAAACACTGAGAAAACATCCTCTGACTAAAAGAAACGAGATGCAAAAGCCTTTCAGCATTCTCGTGGATAAGTTTTATTTGTACAAATTTAAGAGCAGACTGCCACAAACCAGTTTAAAAGCTACACCTTTGCTGGAAACATCCATGCCCATGTGTCACCCATCAAAACCTTAGACAGAGCTCTGGAAACTGTAAAGCAGAGGTCTGATATTCCTCTCAGAGATGTCATTAATTGTGACTCGGTGCAATATGGAAAAAAAAAATGTACATTTCCAAACCCACATGAGGATTCAATGCACCACTCAGCAACTGACTGCTAATGCTTCCAACAATTAGAGCTGAAGGAAAATGATGGATCTTTTTATTACAGGTTGGAGCTGGTTTACTTCCAGTGAGATTTATGAGATTAAACAGAAAAGGCTTACATTATCCACTGTCAGAATTTGGGCAAAGTAAGAAAACCCTCTGCATAAGGACAAAGACAGAAATGTGTATTTGCACAAATACATCTTCTCAGCCTGATAGAAACCTCAACAAA